TGCACAAACATTGGCTGCTTGCATCAGAAAGTCCACTCTAGTGGAACAGATAATTTGTTAGAGACAGCTGATAATATTTTGTGGGAAACTTCTCAAAATAGTAAGATGAATTGCTAAAAGTCAAGACCCAAAATGTAAAACTTCATGCAGTAACACCAGGCTGCTCTTTAGAAATCCCAAATATAAAGAAAACTTTTAAATGGCCAAGGACCAATCCTCACCTCCTCACAGCTTTCTGTCTACACATCTACAACTTTAGAACTGACTGTAGTGGCCTAGCTTATTCCTGAACACACTTGCTCAGGAAGGCCCTGATCCTCTGAGGACCTAGAGGAAGCGTTTCAACGACACAGCAGCCGTCAACAGGAAGTACTGGCAGGCAGAACATTCAAGTGAAAGATGCTGATCTTCCTCAAAACTCTTCTGGCTGTTCCACAATTCCACACATTTGGTTTTTTTTGTTTTTTTGTTTTTTTTTTTTGGTTTTTCGAGACAGGGTTTCTCTGTGTAGCTTTGCGCCTTTCCTGGAACTCACTTGGTAGCCCAGGCTGGCCTCGAACTCACAGAGATCCGCCTGGCTCTGCCTCCCGAGTGCTGGGATTAAAGGCGTGCGCCACCACCGCCCGGCTCCACACATTTGTATTACAGTTACCCATCATAAGCAAGTCTTCACAATCCCAGTTCTCAGTTCTGTCACACCTGCTCTCCCACTGTGGGCACCAGCTGCTTTTCCCCTCAGCTATTACTCTGAACACACCGTAAGGAGCAAGTGAAAAAGCCCAGGACAGCCTCTGAACTGAGCCCCCTTACAAACATCAAATGCTGTGACTTACTAGAACTTAACAACCATGCAGATTTGGTGCTAACAATCTGCACTGGCTTTCACAGATCTATTAGCTGCTTCCTGGTCATTTAATGTCCCGAGCCTTAAAAAGGAAACCACCAGTGTGTTTGGTTAAGCTCATTTGTTTCTTAGATTCATTAGTGCTCACTGGTTCTAAGTCCCTGTTGGACTGAGAAAGTGGAGGGCCCAAGGCAAACACCTGGATTCTTGCTCTTCTGCTTTTCAAAATGGTTCTGGACTCTATTTCTGCTTTTTTTCCTCAATGAAGAAGTGTACGTCCATCTTTGCTTTCCTGGTATATATGTACACTACCCTGTGCTCTCCACTCATTCCTGCCCAGTGCTTAAGCCTACTCACCCATGTCAGCATCTCATCTCTCACTGACCTCTTTCTAAGAACACACCTCTCTCCACCGAAAACAACATCTTCGCTTATCCTTCTGTAATGAAAAAATTTTTTCATACAATATATTTTAATCATATTTCCCCTCCCTCCTACCCCTCCCAGTTCTTCCCCACCTCCCTAGCCACCCAACTTTATGTTCTTTCCCTCTCTCTCAAAACAAAAAGCCAAAGCGAAACAAGAAGTCCACAAAACTACCACTGAGTTCATTCCGTGTTGGCCAACAACTCCTGGACCTGGGGCCTGCCCGGGGATACGGTTGATACACCCAGTGACACTCTCCTGGAGAGAGCTGATCTTCTCTTTGCAAGTAGGTATCGGTTGCAGATAGTTTCTTGGTTAGGGGTAGGAGCCTGTGTCCACTTCCCCTCTCTCCGTGCTGGGACCCCATGCAGCCCGGACCTATGCAGGTTCTGTGCATGCTGCCTCAGTCTCCAATGACTTCATACGTGCATGAGTCCTGTGGTGAGTCATCCATCCCCTCTGGCTCTTACAGTCTCTCCACCCCTTCTTCTGCACAGCTCCCTGAGTCTGGAGGGACTGCTCCTCCTATCTTAAAACCTCCCAATAACAGCTACCAAGTGTGCTCCTCTCGCTTCCCTAGTATAGAGCCTGGTTTCCACTAAGATCTTTGGCTAAATCCTGTGTGCGTCTCAGCCTGTGTTCTAGAGTGCTACTGAGGACACCTTCCAAGCAGGCCCTCCTCTTTTAGCCTTCAGGATCTTCACCTTTGCTACTCTTTACATCCCTAACTCTTTTCTAACATGGGCACTCTTTCCTTAGACTTGCCATGACTGATGTCATGGTCCCACCACCATCTTTTGACAGAACGTGCTTTCTCTCCACTGTAGGACACCATCTCCCCTAGACTGACAACTGGCCCATCAATTCCCCTAGATAGCTCTGCAACGCCCTCCTTTTCAGAGTCCCCCCTTCCAGCACTTTCTAGACCACTGCTCTTGAGCTATGCATGTCTCTACACAAGTTTCCAGTGGCAAGAGAGGTGTGGTGGTACACACACACAACCCCAGCACCAGAGAGGCAAAGACAAGAGGATGGTGGGTTCCAGCTCAGCCTGGACTACACAGGAAGAGCTACTTCAGAGGAAACCAGTAACCAAAGCAACAACCAAGCCCAGTCCAGCAGCTTCCCAGAGTCCATGAATAAAGAGGAACACCATAGGCTACCAGGCTGGTCAGCGCCAACCCCACCTTCCAAACAGGCCGAGTTTATGCTCTGGGATTTCCAAACTAACTTCTGTGTTGAGTCAAGAAGCAGTTCTGCATGCCTTTTGCCTAGAACACCCTGCCCTAACCCCTGCCCTAACCCCTGTTCTAACCCCTGTCCTAACCCTAGTCCACCTGACTGAATTCCCAGGCATCTTCACTTCCTACTTCAACCCTCTTTAAAGCTTCTCCTACATTCTCCAACTAGAGTTCATTCAGGCCCCCCAATGCTTACAAGGCCTTCACAGCTGTCTACTGAATCTAACCCACACAAGGCTCCAGGGTAGGGCTGGGCTAGGGAGTCCTTGTTCTCTGTTGAGGAGTACTACTCGGCCATTTCAAGTCCTGGAACATTCTCCTCGAGGTTAAGGAGCACTTTTTTCACACGTTAATTCTCTGGAACACGGAACTTTCTCTGGGCAGAAGTCTCGGGGTCCTGAACAATGGTAATGTCACATTAACAATACCATTATAAAGGCTACAAAATGGCAAAGCCTGGGAGTGCAGTTTAACAGCAGGATATAAAGCACCTCCTCCACTTCTTGCATTAATTTCAAAAGGTTTCCCCCCCCCCCCCTTCTTCTTCTTTACTGGCTCTTGAACAGAACAGCACTTAAAGAGTTTCTATGGACCAAATATTAACCAGCCTCCAACAGGCAACTGATTTAAAAATAGCCCTTGACCTGGAAATATAGGTGTGTTCAAATACACACCCTGATAAGAAAGGACAGACAGAGGATACAGCTCAAGGCCTTAGAGCCTAGCAAGTCAAGGGCTCCTTGAGACGGGGCTCTGGAAGTACGGGAACATTTCAGCACAGTTTGAACAAGCTCACCCTCATCTAAGAACTCATGACAAAACGAGTTACGGATGGACACATTTCATCTCGGAAAAACCACATCCACCAAAATATCTATCAATGGCAGCTAACAACACAGCACTTATAAAGAAACACACAAGCCAGCGGGGTAAACAAGTCACCAAGGGAGATGCCGACTATAATGAGTCCAAGGACTCCACAGACATCGTTCCTATTTTAAATACATTATGGTGTTTGAAATGTAAGCAAATAAATTCAAAAGCTATTTTATGCACCGTTTCCCGTTTTCAGGACATGTTTTGTCTTAATAAGAGCTCGTTAGCTTTCTCCAGTTAAGGAAGTCAACATGAGGAGGCTGGTATTTCCTTGATTCCAAAGGATACCAGTGCTAAATAAAACAAAATCCCAACCTAATTAATTCTATTTTTGGTCTAGTTTCCAAGGCAGTTTTCACAAAGGCTGTTCTTGGCCCACTGCTTCCAGGTTTCAACTTTCCAGAGCTGGAAACTGTATTTTGTCTATTTCCTTGGCACATGTACTTCCCAGAATCTCTCTTCATCCTCATTCCCCTCAAGAATAGGAAAGCAGTAGTCAACTCATTGAGTCTAAAGTTTGGGTCCTAAAATCACCGTCATATTTATTGCTTCCGTGTTATCTTAGCACAGATTAGTAACTCAAGCTCCATCAAGTTCATTAACATAAGTTTTGAGAGGAACAATCAGGCTGCCAGGGGTGTCAGAACAGCAGAGAGATGGGTAAGTTAGGTTCCAGTACCAAAACGCAGTGAGCTTGACCTTGGGCCATCCCAAGACAACCTGAGTAGTTTGTTTCTTTTTTGATACCGGGGCCAGCGTTGAGCTTACTACAGAGCTGAGAATGATTTCCTTGCCTCCACCTCTCCCTGTCCCCTAGTGCTGGGACTCCGGGCAAATGCCACCACACCTGATCTTCCACAAAAGAATTCTAAGAATGATTTCAACAGTTTTGAGTTTCTCAAGCAAAGTGGAATTCTGTAAACATAAGCGTTTATAGTAAATGCATTCTCTGGCCCAATTTCCCAATCTACCTATTTCATACGGGGATAAAACTGCGGGGTTTTTTTTTTCCTCCAAAAGTTCTTAGTGGCACCAGTTTAGGAAACACACCTAAACTCTTGACTCTTTGTAGCCTTAACCTCTGCATGCAAGGTTAATCTATTTTAAAGGTGAGGGGTACGTCAAGTCTGGAATTAGCCTGTTCGCTTCAATGAAAACCAGCGGTGGCACGACTACTGCCCTGTGTGCCCGGCACTCACGTGCTCCCCGCGCACGGCAGCCTCAACCCTCCGGAATCTATCAGCCCGGAAAAAGAACAGAGAAACGAAAGCGCAGCTTGGAGCAGCTCCAGAGCCGGTCTGCGTCAGGCTCCAATGACAGCCCGGAGCCCAAGGTGCCCGTCTTAAGTTTACTCCCAACTTTGTCGCCCTACCAAGGAAAGGCGAGAGAGGTGGCGGCCACAAGGCAGCCGGAGCGCCCGCGGTGACGGGTTCCATCCCGACCCCAGAGCGGGGAGGAGTGCAGGGGGCGGGGGATCCGGGGAAGAAGTCAGGTTCAAGTGCGGAGCTCGCACTCCCCGGAGCGGGGGGGGACGACGCGCAGGACCCCCGCGGCACGCCCGCTCCGGGGGGGCGCGGCCCCGGCCCCGCCCCACTCACTCACTCCTCACTCACTTTGTCGCTGGTGCTCTCGGTTTCGTGGTCGCCGCCGGCCGCCTCCCCCTCGCGGGGTGGCGGCGTCCCCGCTCCCCCGGGGCCGGGGCAGCCCCCGCGGTGCCGCAGCTCCAGCATGTCCCGCTCCCGCGTCGCTGGGCTGGCGTCGTCTAGCGCCCGGCCACCGCGGAGCCGCGCCGGGTCACCCCGAGAACGGCATCAACGAGCGAGCGCTCGAGGCCGCCGCCGCCGCCGCCGGCAGGGGGTGCGGGGCGGCGCGGGCGGGCGGGGACGCGGCGCCGTTGCCAGGTGCGCGGCTCCACGCACTGGCCCCAGAGGGCGGAGGAGCAGCCCGGCCCTCCCTCGCGCCTCGCGACCGCGCCACCCTGGCCCGCCCGCTCGCCGGCTCGCCCGCCCGCCCTCCGGCCCGCCCGCCCCACCTTCCCGCCGCCGAGCTCCCGCAGCACGGTCACGCGCCGCAGGCCCCGCCCCTGGGCGCTGCACTGCGGTGCCCGAGGCCCCGCCCCGGGCGGTGACGTCAGTGCCCCGGCCCCGCCCCGGCCCGGCCCCGCCCCGCCCCGCGCGCAGGTGGGGGGCCCGGAAAGGTGCGCCCTGGGCTAGGGACCCGGGACGAGCCAGGGGCTGGAGGACGGGGAGGATAGCCCCAGGGACGGGAAGCCCTCGACCGCGCAGGGACGGCGCTCAGCCGACTCCTTCAAGGCACTCGACCCAGCTTGACACGCCGCGGCGTGGCGGAGCTTCGCCGGCGTCCCCAAGCAGAAACTTGCTCGGCAGGACAGACCCGTTGGCTCCGCGTTCCAGCCCGTGCTTTGCCACCCCCGGTGCCTGGGGATGAGTTGGCTAATAGTTTCAGTGTCCGTACCGAGGTTCTGTACCAGGGAAACTCGGGTGTTTGAATCTCACAAAATGTTCGACCGTAGGTTCCACCGAGAACCTTGGATGCCTTAGGGCGCCACCGCCAACCTTGTCTCCGAAAGACAAGGAAGGACCTTGGGACTTTAAGCTGGAACAGGATGGACACATGATCTGCGTTAATTCCAGCCTAAATCCTGTTAGCAGGTGCTTAGTCTTCTTTACATGCGTTTGCTAGCTGGTTATTAAAGGCAGCACACGCATTCCGCAAAGGGTCAAAGGAGCACCGTCATTGTAACTAGTCAACAATTTCCCAGGTCATTACTGACAAGGTGAAAATGGGGAATATGTTGTTCTTAAAGTCTAATAACTAGCCAGCAAAATTCAAACGTCAGAGAAAGACACAATGAGAAACAGATTTCTGTTGGCATTTCTTTGTCTGGCCGAACAGATCTTTAAAACCGTCAAGTTCAGCTAGGGTTACCAGCTTCATTTTCCAAAAGTGTAGAGAAATTATAATTTGTTCTTTGTAAGCAGAGTAGCAAAAATAATTGAGAAGGGCCGGAAAGGGTTCAGCGGGTAGACATCAGCCAAGCCTGATGACTCAAGTTCGATTCCCAAGCCCTGCCTACATGGGGGAAGTAGAGAACTGCCTCCAGAAAGCGGTCCTCTGATCTCTCCAGTTACACTCATACACGTAAATAAATATCCCTTAAAACTAATGGAAGGTATGAGAATAAATCTTACAAGTGATGTACATGTTGTGTGTGTGTGTGTGTGTGTGTGTGTGTGTGTGTGTGTGTATTTGGTTTTGGTTTTGGGGTTTGTTTTGTTTGTTTTTGTTTTGGTAAAAACAGAAGACCTCGAGTAATTAGGTTAATTGTTCTACATTTTTTGAGATAAAATACTTTCATTTAAATCTTTTTGTTTGTTTGTTTGTTTGTTTTGAGACAGGGTTTCTCCTTGTAGTTCCCGAGTGCTGGGATTAAAGGCGTGTGCCACCACCGCCCGGTTGATAAAGTGCTTTCATATAGGAAGATAAAATAACAGCAGAAGAGGCCACAGAAGGCTGTGATGGGTTGACTCTATGGATTCCACCCAGCAGAAAGGAGGATTGTAAACTTTTCCACGAAGTTGGGGAGCGAGTGTTCTAGCCCCAGTAGTGCCCATTATCTCTGTGGCCTTGAGTAAGTGATAAGCCCTGTGTCCCCATCTGTAAAATGAATAGTAAGAAGGCTGGCCTCCTGGGCCCTTCTAGCTGTTACAGACTCTAGCCCTTCATCACCCTGGCCCAGGGAGGGAGCTCAACACTTCTCTTTCCCTCCCCCAGTCAGCTCCTCAGTGTTCTTTTTCTGTCTTCCCTCTTTGCAGTAGGATGAGGGTAAAGCCTACTGAGAGGGACGAGAGGGACGAGAGAAGACAGTGAGCATAACAGAATCGTGTTTCTCCACCCAGGGAAGAGGGACAGTGAGTGCAGAGCCACCAGAGCTCCCGCCCTTCGGTGAGTTCTGCCACTCTCCGTATTTTGGCTGAGATGGTAATTTATTTCTGTCTTCATTATAGTTATTGACTCTAGTTGAATGATCGATGGAACCACAGACTAAGGTCTTGCCGCAGAGCCAGCCCTTACCCTCAGACAGTCAGCAGTGTCTGTTGAAGAAGTGAATGAGAAACAAATGGATAGCAGTGTATGGCCTGATGGGAAATTATTTGGTGTTCATGTTTTGAGTTTTATGTTTTGACATATATGGTGTGATGGCTAATTGTGATTGTCAACTTGACTACATCTGGAACTAAAACCCTGTGAGGGATTTTTTTTTTTTTTGATTGGATCACTTGAGGTAAGAAGAACCACCCTAAATCTGGGCCACACCTGGGGGCAGCCTCTGTGAAGAACAGGGAGGAGGAAGCTCTCACTTGAGCTTGCCATTGCTGGCAAGTTCACTCCTTCACTGTTGTCAGAGCCTTCTTTGGAATTCCTGAGTATACTGAAGACCAGCTGAACAACTTTTGTATTCTTGGACTTCACATCAGAAGACAGCCATTGTTGGAATATTCAGAACATATCCTGCAAGGCACTCTAATAAATCTCATAGGTAGGTAGATAGATAAATAGATGATAGATGGTAGATAGATTATAGATAGATGGTAGATAGATAATAGATATGATAGATGGTAGGTAGATGATAGATAGATAGATAGGTAGATAGATAGATAGATAGATAGATAGATAGATAGATAGATAGATAGACAGATAAAGACAGATTAATTCTATCAGTACTATTTCTCTAGAGAACTTTGACTAATACACATGGGTATTTACTTTTCTCAATTTTTCACTTTACTTTTAAAAGGACATTAAGTTTAACATGTATTAAAAGAAGCTCTGGTAATGATTTCGTATTTTAATTAAAATATATTGCAATGTATTCAACCGCAACTGGCTTTAATGCACTTTCTGTTTGCAGACTTTCTTCAAGGTCTTTTTCTTTCCTTTTTTTTAAATCTTTCATCTTCTTCACTTATTACGTTTGTGTTCTATGACACAAAATCTGACATGCAATGGTTCCCAAGCCTCACCTGTCACTCCTGCTATGGTTTGACCTGCTGAAGGGCTTCCAGGAGTCCCAGAGCGCATGGCAGACGCTGGGCCAGGAGACACTTTTGGCTAGTTTGGAGAGTTTCCCCGTCAGTGGTCTTAGAATTACTTAGCTCTTAGGAAGGGATTTGATTTGCTGGGCAGTGTGAGAAGCAAGTGGTGATGGTGTTATTTATTTATTTATTTATTTATTTATTTATTTATTTATTTATTCTCAGTTTTTCGAGACAGGGTTTCTCTGTGTAGTTTTGGTGCCTGTCCTGGATCTCGATCGGTAGACCAGGCTGGCCTCGAACTCACAGGGATCCGCCTGGCTCTGCCTCCGAGTGCTGGGATTAAAGGCGTGCGCCACTGCCGCCCCGGCAATGGTATTATTTTTATGGTGTCTATTTTGGCTTTGGTGTTAACTTCTGTTTCCCACAACCATGGAAACAAGGTGTACAGAGACCTGCTACTGCTCCCCCAGAACTGCTTCCCAAGGATTCAAGACTGAGGAAAGTTGCCCCCTCAGGTGGGAACCTGAGCTGCTTCCCACATCAGACCCTGTGCTATCCCCAGCTTGCCTAGGGAAGGAAAGCTCCACCTCACCAAGTGTTTCTGGTTGCCTGGACACCCTTCCTCTAGCTTTTGGGACCTGACCTATCTTCTCTGCTACCTCTTCCAGCTCTCTACATAAGCTGGAGGTAAGCATTTCTGATTTAAAGGGGGAAAGTTCAATATAGGAGGAGGGAGGGAGAGAGGTAAAATAACAAAATAGATGGCTAAAAAGGCCACAAGGAGTCATATGATTAACTATTTCCCTAGAAATAATACATGTAATTTGATTTGAGTGCTCAGTCACCAGGGAGTGGTTCTATGAAAGAACTAGGAGGTGTGGCCTTGTTGGAGGAAGTGTGTCGCTGGGGGTGGGCTTTGAGATTTGAAGGGCCCAAGCCAGACCTAGTGGCCCTCTCTTCTTCCTGCTGCCTGTGGATTTGATGTAGAACTCTTAGCTACTTGCTCTAGTACCATGTCTGCCTGTGTACCACCATGCTTCCCACCATGATGATAATGGATTAAACCTCTGAAACCGTAAGAAAGCCCCAATTAAATTCTTTCTCTTATAAGAGTTGCCGTGGTCATGACATCTCTTCACAGCAATAGAATACTAAGAGAAACCACTAAACAAAATCCCAACACCTCATGGGAGAAGCCCTCTTTTGAGGTGTTGGCTAGGGCTAAGAGACTTCCAAATATAAAGTCAGTCACTGTTACCCTAGGTTACCCCCTAGAAGTAGAAAGTGATTCCCTATTGCTAAAGACACCATGCACCTCAGAAATAGGACCCAAAGGCCCCTGAGCTACTTACCTGAATGCCCCCTCCCTGAAGAGTTCCTTTTATGGCATCAGAAGGCACCATGCAACTTCCAAAGAAGAGAAGCAGCCAACAGTCCCACCCAACTATGACACCTGCGAACTACATCAATAACCACCCAACTGGTGCGGCGGTAGTACACATTACTTGGCAATAACCACCTACCCTCTAATTGGACTTAAGACCCATACAACAAGAGAGATTCCATGCCTGGTACTGAAAACCTACCTAGGAAAATGGAGACATCACTTCCTTCACCATCTTTATGAAGAATAAACTGGTTAGTTTATGTTCACTCCTGAGAGCATGCCTGGCCATAGCGGAGGAGCACATGAGTGTGACCTATTATTATTTTCATATTCTTAAAATCCACATTCTGAAAGAGAACACTATTTGATCTCTAAAGTCACTGCCATACCCCAGAAGACCTTGAAGG